ATTCAGCGCTGGACCCCAGTCAGGATTGAGCTCATCCATTTCACACGTCGGTTTGCCTTGAAGAGGACATATCAGAACACACATCAGTATTAATACTGTAAATCTGATAACACTAGTAAAATAGTTTACTTCACAATAATGTAAGAACCTCGATGTCCACTGACAAAACTCGGACTTTGCTACATAAACAATATAAAGCCCGACCTAAACAAGGTTGACCCACTTAAATGAACTCAACATTAACCGAACATGAGAACACCCGGACAAAATCATAGCAAATAAATTATGACACAACACCAACAAAGCGAATTTAGACACTCACCAGAATAGAAATGTCTGGAGCAAACTTGTAGGTATCTGGGGATGTTGGAGAAGGTAACATCAGGACGTCTCACCGCTGATAGCAGGACATTCGTCTTCTTTTCGTTAGCTCCGTTAGCTTAGCCTCCACGCGTTGTTTCCAAACAGGAAAATAGTGAAAAGAAACTCCGTTTTCCATCTTTTAACCGTTTCAGTCGTGTGATCGGACATTACATTCAATAACGCAGCAAGTTCGTACCATAGCTAAATTATTTTAAGTAACTTGGGTTTAAAAAATCTGCCAGGCTCCTCTTCTTCTTCTTCTTGTTTAATGGCGGTTTGCAAACAACTTATAGGTGCATTACCGCCACCTTCCAGACTGGAGTATAGATTAGATGTCTTACCACTATAATCTTCTCATAATACCTGACTTTCTAAGAAAACTAAAAATGCTGTACTACATCCTCAGACGATTTTTGCAGCAAATTTTTAATATCTAATTTATTTTTATTTCTATTTAACTCTTTGATTAACACCTCTCTTTCCCAACTATACTTATTATATTCTAGAAAAATATGCTGCACTGTTTCTGACTCTCCACAATAACTACACAAGCCTGTACTATGTTTATTAATTATTTTCAAAGTACTATTTAACCCTGTATGCCCAAACCTTAACCTGGATATAACATCCTCTTCTTTTTTATTCATATTACCTTCCCTACATTCCCCTACTTTTTTGAATGCTATAATACAATCTTGCCTTTTCTTCTCTATCCCATAGTTCCTGCCATCTCTTTTTAATATATATTTCACTTATACTTTTGACCTCATTTTTGCTTATTTTGATATTTACCTCAACATTATCCCTTTTTGCTGCACTCTTAGCAAATTGATCCGCCAACTCATTTCCTACTATTCCATATGAGCAGGAATCCAAATTAACTTAACCCGGGATCCATATTTTTTAATTCTAAAAATTGATTGATTAATATTCAATATGATATCGTGTCTTGTTCCTGAATTCTGTTCTAAAATAGTTATTAATGCACTACTTGAATTTGAACAAATCAATATTTCCTCGTTCTGGTTTCCTCACTCCATTCTAGAGCCATTTTCTCACCCGTGTAAACTGGCAATCTGTCTGTTACTCTTTTGATTTATTGCTATCTCACTTATCTCTTTATTTATAAACCATCCAAAAATATTAATTTTCTTATTTTTTTCTTTTTCTTGACATAAGGATAATTTTCCTTATGTCCTTTAACATTTGCCCAATAGTTTATGTCTAGTTGTTTTCTTCTGAGCTCCAGTGGCATCTCACCCATTTCAGCTTGTAAAGCTGATGCTGGGGTTGTTTTCATTGCTCCACAACAAGTTCTTAAAGCCTGATATTGTATTCTATCTATTTCTTTTAGTAAACTATTAGAAGCTGAATTATATACAATACATCCGTAATCAATTACTGATCTAATTAGTCCTATGTATATTGTTTTTAATACCTTCCTATCAGCTCCCCAATCTTTACCTCTTAAACATCTCATTATATTTAGGATTTTTTTACTTTTCTCAATTATTTTTTTTATATGCATCTTCCACGTAAGTTTTTTGTCAAACCAAATTCCTAAATATTTAATCTGATCTATGCTTTCTACATCATTCTCATATAATTTAAGATTTACATTTGTATTTATTTTCCTATTAGTAAAAGTAATGAACTTAGATTTAGATATTGAAATTCTAAAACCCCATTCTAAAGCCCAATCTTCTACATTATGTATTGCCTCTTGCATTTTCTTATTTATAAATGTTAAATTTTTCCCCCTTTTCCAGATAAGGCCATCATCTGCAAATAATGATACTCCAAAATATTTATCTATTTTACTAAAAATATCATCAATCATTGTATCATAGGACTTATTATACTTCCTTGAGGAGTACCGTTTTCAATTTGATGTTTTGAACTTACTTCACTGCCTATTTTAACTTTTATATTTCTTCCAGTTAAAAAGTTTTTAATCCATCTATATATTTATATATTTCATGATATTCTCGTCATCTTCATCATTACACAGCAGCTCATTGTGATTTTTTTAATGTCGTTTCCCGTCCTTTTTTTCAGTCTTACTAAGATTCTCCATACTATGTATCTTAGTAAATGCTCTTGCTAACAATTCAGCTTTATTCTTATTATCTATTATAGTGTTACCATTATCTTTTAATACTGGAAAAAAGTACTCTTTTGATTTACCTGACATTTTTTTAATGGTATTCCATACCCTGTCTAATGCCGTATTTTCCCCCAATGACTCACAATATTTTCTCCAATAATTCCTCTTAGCATTTCTTATAATCTTCCTGACTTCTGCTTGTTTTCTCTTATAATTTATTAGATTGTGGAAGCAAATATATTTTTTAAGATTTTTATAGGCCTCGTTTCTTATTCTAATTGCTATTGTACATTCTAGAGTCCACCAAGGAACCATCTTCTTCTTTTTAACCCCTTTACTTCTAGGAATGGTTGTTTTTGCTGCATGAACAATACTATTACTAATTTCTAAATTTAAATCATTTATTGGTTTATTTATATCTATATTTACCATACTAACTTCACTTACTTTTTTATAGTTTTCCCAATTTGTATCCCCAAATCTCCATTTCCCTTGACTTACTACCTGCTCTTCTTCTATATCCATTTCTACTTCAACAAAAATTGGATAATGATCACTTCTTATTGTACCATTTTTATATACTTTCCAGCTGCAACTATCCGCCAAAGATTGTGATACCAGTGTCAGATCAATGGCTGATTCTCTACCTTATCAAATCTACCCTAGTGCCTACACCATTATTTAACACCACCATTTCTATTTCTTCAATCAATTCTTCTAAGACCCCACCATCATAATGTGCATTAAAATCTAAAGACTGTTTCAAGTTTTGATTTCTCTATTTTCTTACAAGGATTATAATAATTTATTATTTTAATAATTCCATTATTTGTCCAAACTTTAACCGCATTAAGTTCTAGATCCGTATTTATTTGCATTTGAATAAATTTTATGTTTTCCATTATAAATATAGCACATCCTCTTCCTCCACTTCCATTTATTCTATCTTTACGTAAAACTGCATAACCATGAATACTGAATTGCAATGATGATTTAATCCATGTTTCTTGAATACATGTTATGTCTGGTTTTGTATTTAATTTGTTAATGAACCCTTTAAATTCCTGACCGTTAGCTATTAAACTTCGAGCGTTGTAGTGTTAGAATTATGTAGTGATCTGAGAAGCCTCATTTTCAGACGATCCTTCTCCACATCTAAGTTCATCCTGAATTTTTCCCATGACAGATCTTTGACATTAAACAATTTTGCTGCTGCCTTTACTATAATTTTTATTTTTTCAGTTTTAGTTCTTGCTTGCTCTGAACAGTTAATGATATATGCCAGAAATGGAATCAGTTTTTCTAACGTGACATTATTTTGAGTATTATCTGTCTCCTTTTTCCTTTCCAACTTTGTTTTTGTAGCATTTTCAGTACTTTTCAACTCTCACTGCTTCAACATAATCAATTTTCTTATCAGTTTTAATTTTCTGAACTTCAGTTGCTTCTTTCCTTACCACACATCCTGCATAAGCTGCAGTATGATCTTTGTTTTCCTCTACACACATTTGCAATGTGACCATATCTTTGGCACTTATAGCATCTGACAGGTGGTAGAGTATAAGTTCTTACATTCAAACTCATGTATCCAATCATTACTTTATCAGGTTTAACTTTATCTTTGAATTCCAGTAGCACAGATGTACTGTCCAATCTTTCTCCACTTCTAATAGCCTGCAATCGTTTTATGCCTGAAATCTCTCCTCCTTTTATTATTTTCTTTAGTTCTTCTAAGTTTTCTCCAATCGGGATCCCTGATATTTCCCCTTTTGCTCCTCTTTCTTCCCCCACTACCTTCCTTTCCAACTCTTCTTTTTAACACTTGAAGTTTTAATGCCTTATTCTTTTGCTCAACATTCTTACAGATAATAAGAAGGCTCCCATCCCTTAAAACTTTAGCCATTTTCACATCTCCGACAACTTTCTTTAGTCCATTTAATAAATTGATCGGACTCACCCCAATCATATCTTGTCCTGTTTTAAATTTTAATACAACTTTGAATTCTTCCATCATTTTTTTCTTCCTCATCTCAACATTTTCTTCCTCATCTTCCAAAGATCTTTTGCCTATATTTGGTCCTTTTTTACTCTTGTCTCTCCCTCCTCCCCCTTTTCTATTTTCTACTAACGCCCAACCTGTATCCATATTTTCATCTTCTGAACATCCCCCACTACAACTAGCCATCTTAATCTGCTCACAGTCCAGATTATGCCAAAACCACCTTAGAAATCAACTTATTACTCGCCAGAAATCGCTTAAACTCTTCCACTCTCAGAAAATCCGCGTTCTCCAATCTCGCACACCTGCCGACACCAAGCTGTAGTCGGCTCCTGCAAGACTGTTATTTTTGTCAGTTATATTTATGGGCCCCAAAGATGGCGCTGATATCCCTGCGTCTACAGCAGTGACGTCACGTTCCAAAGCTCTATGGACCATTATGCGTCTGTAGCAGAGTTAATTTTATTTATTTATTTTATTTTTCTTTATGAACCTTCTCAAAACTAATTTTCTTTGAATTGACATGTCTGTTATATATTATTTCTGTTTTATATTGCTTTTATTTTTGGTTCCTAGTGTGTAAAAATCCACCCTCATCTATGAATATTTGTTTTCCTTTGTTTTTTTAATTGCATTTTATTTTGGTGGGGAAGCTTTTATTTTCTTACTTCCTGTTTTTGCGTTATATCCTGTGTGTTCCCGCTGCCCTCCTCAGTTCGCGCCAAGCTGCGCTGGGGAGAGGTAAGTGTACAGAGTTGTCTTTCATTTGTGTATTAAAATATTGGAAATGTTCTAAAAATATGTTGTAAACTCACATGTTATATATATTGTTGTTTAACTGTTCATGTTTAGCGCAGCACTGTGCTGGGCATTTGTCTCCCACATTGGTGACACCCATCAAGTTTTCTGTATCAACGTGGTTATTTATTTATTTTTTTTCTTTTGGT